TGTATAAATAATACACTACTACAATTGTGTGTTGACAATATAAATTTGTATTACCTGTGGAATTCAGAAGGTTATTTTTTATGACAGAATAAATTAAATAATTAGCATTATCTTTGGACAGTAATTTTCCTAAAGATTTTTCCCTTCTAGGTATAATGATTTATTTGTCATTTAAAGAAATAAAATGAAAACTAATTACACTCTTAATAAAAGTAACGAAGATTATTTCAACTTAAACAACTTACCTCACGTGTAATTTGCAAATAATTTTTCAAAACACTGTTCTGTTGCAAACATTTGTACATACCATCTTTCCCTATGGTTTATGTTGCTTGACGTTCCTGGCCCATGTTCAGCAGTTAATAGATACGATTTGCGACTGCGTACAAATCAGCCCAAAATATTCGTGAACAAGTTTTTTTTTATTTCTAATGGATTCTAATATCCAAGTAATCCATAAAAGTGATATTTTTATAAGTTTTTATGCAAAATTATTGCTGTTCTAATTTTACACATTTTTTTTGTTCAATTCTATTACTTGTGCAAATCTTTTATGTATTTACTGAAGTGATTCAATATGAAAAAGTAGATATATATACCGGGTCTCTCGTTTCCCAAACGGCATATTGGGATCTCAGTTATCTTAAAATATATAAGTTTGATCAGGGTAAGGTTGTGATAGGTATCTGTTTTTAGTTTTCAAGATATCGAAGAAAAACTGAAAATTTTGACTTTCATTTTTATTATTTTATTGAGAAATGACTTTTTTAAACTTTCAATTCAGAAATGTGGTCGCATTAGTCGTGACATTTACCAGAATGCAACTTTGTTTTCTTCAAAGAACTCATTAGATTTTCGAATTTTTTATTCAGCACATTTTTCTGACCATCACGATGTATCAAATGATTATGGCTTATTTCTTTGGTTCACCAAAGTACTGAATTATGCATTTTTACAAAAAGTTTTTGAAAACATAATATTATTCCAAACGAAACCTTAAGAATTACCTAGTTATATTTTCATTGGCAATGTTAAAACGTTTAAATAATTAAAAAGCCAATGTTCACATGAATCAAAATAAAATATTCTTCAAATTAATTAATCAACAATTGCATTTTTAGTTATCATTAACGATGCCAATGAAAATTGGATGTTTTGTTCTTAAAACATTTTTTTGGGAAAACAAAAAATAAACCATAGGAAATGAAATATCACCATAGTCAGAAATATGTGCTTAATTGAAAATAAGAAAATCTAAACGATACCTATAAGACAGCCAAAAATTGCATGTTGTTTTTCCGTGAATTTTAAAAAATTCAACTTTTTCCGGTTTCCATTAAAATAAATAACAACGAAAATCTAAATTTTCAGTTTTCATCGATAACTTGAAAACGAATAGAGAAAAATTTTTTACGCCAAGATATTCGGCATTAGAAGCCGCAACATTGCCCTAATTCAACTGACATTATATCTCAAAATAAACGAAATCTCAATTATGAGGCTATTCAGTATAGGTAAGTAAGTATATTAAGTGGCTAGTTCACAACATCGTGTTTATGAAATTAAGTAATTGTGAACAACAAAAATACATATTTGATGAAGATCATAAAATGAATAAACTGTATCACGAGTTGTATGTAATTTGTACAAATGAAATTTAGATAATTCTACAACGTGTTTCTGAATTGTCCAAAATTATTGTGTATTTTGCTCAAGAGATTTTTGAATGTAAATATTTTTGGTCTCTCACGACCGAAATAGTGCAAACTGAGGTTTTTATTTATATTAGATTTTATTTAAAGGCAAAATAAAATTAGAATTGGGGAAATGTTTTATTTTTTTCACTTGAAACATGCGTATTTCGTTTATGTGTTTGTTTGTTTAACAATAGTTAAACAGTAAAATATTTAAAACTCATTTCCTATAAACCAAGGACGTACGAAATTGTTTTACAATTTTCCTGAGTTGCCTGAACTTATATTTGTATCTAGATTCTACATGGTACCCTCACAAACGGCTTACGCTGTCTTTGGTAATCCCAGTAATCCTCTGTGGAAAAGGGGCAAAAGACAAAGGGGCGAAAGCAACATTTAGACTTTCTGTTCAATACCGTCGACACCACAATATATAATAGACGTGCATTCTAATCTGATATTAGATCAATATCAAAATTAATTCAGTAAGCTCATTGCCATTTTCTTCAATAATAATGGTGAATATTTTATTAAAATATGGTAGTTAACACAAAACATATACACTGTGAGGAAATGTTTAATTAAAACTGAAGTGAAAATTTGAAATACTAATATGTCCATATCATATTTATCCAAGCAGCAAACATCACATATATGCAATCCATTAAACTGTTATTTCAAGGTGAGGAAATTCATTTTTGTATTTTACTGAAGGTCTGTTTCACTGATTATATCAGTATATCGTTCGTTAACGACATATTACCTTCCAAGCATAGACAGGGTGCAACAGCGATGTTATGAGATACTTACTGATACTTTTCATCAAAACCAACAAAAAATAAGAATAGTAACATTTCCTCGTGAAACGATTTCTACTGATTTTACTTTCCTTTAAAAATTGGACAAATTACTCATGAATCATTGAAGACATTATGTAGAAAGAATGAAATTGAAAATGGTGAAAAAAAGTTTTACATGTATAAATTAACCATTTTCAATTAGTTTTTTCGAGGTTTTTTATTCGTATTATTCGTAGTATATTTACTAATTTTCACCTTTCAATGTTTACGATAGTCATGGTTTTGATTTTTAACTATGATTGATGCATTTTACATTTTACATAAAAAAAACTCGAGATACAAAAATTTTATTTGGGAATGGTCTCTCCAAATATTTTTTGTGACGTTAAATAATTTTTTTGATAGCTGAAACTCCTCAAACCTATTCCGACGTCAGTGGTTATTTTTTGATCAAATCATGTCATTAAGTTTTTATACATACCTATATATAGGTTGTTACAAATTCGCTTCTCACTACAAGGACCTCGGAAACGGTAAGAGATACGAACAAGCTTAAATGGGGCAAAGTTGCGTAATCAGGGGACCAACATTATGCCTCTAAAAAATCAAGGCTAACATAATTAGTTTTCAAAATATTTGAAAAAAAAAACGAAACTTTGGAAATCCGTTTGTGTTTCAATTTAACTTTGTTTGAGGTGATATTGAAAAAAGAAGAACACTTCCTCGTGGTAACTTTTTGCCTTTTATTAAATGGCATAACTTAATTTTTTTATGTACGGTACTGGTAATCTCATTAGGTTTTTTGCAAGTCTTCATGACCCCCAATTTGCCTCAGACCGAACCAGATTCAGACGTTTTGTCTCTAAAAATTCGTCTTCAATATATTTGTTCCAAAATCTAAATTTTTTATTTACATTGCTATGTTTATTGAATTATCGTACACTCCAAGTGTCGTTACACCCTGTGAAACCTAGTTATTTAAACTATTACCATCACGTGTTACAATAAAACATTAAAGTTTTATTCCCGTGCCCAAAGTTATTTCTAGGTTTCTCGAGTGCTCAAAATTCAAATAAATTTCGATCTAATTTTTTTTGAGAATATTCATACAAATACATCTGACATGCTCGGGCCGAGGCAGTACAGTGTTGGGGGCCATGAAGGCTTGCATGAAATGTAATAAAATTTGCAGGGCCGTATTTAATAAATTGAAATTGATGATGATCCTGAAAAGACGAAGCGTTACATATAAAAATTGATTACGCCAAGTGTTCTTCTTTTTTCAACATCACTTCAAACAAGGCTGAAGTGAAACAAAAACGAATTTCCAAAATTTCGATTTTTTTTCAAATATTTCGAAAATTGTTGGCCTTGATTTTTTAGAGGCATAATGCTGGTCTCCAGATTACGTAACTTTGCCCCATTTAAGCTAATTCGTATATCTTACGTTACCGAGATCCCTGCCCTGCAGGGAGAAGCAAATTTGTAACAGCCTGTATAAGTAATCTTGATGAGAGGATACAGCCAAGATATACTCACTTAAATGCTTCTCTGTTTGAAATATTTTATTAAAAAAAATATGTCGTTTCTCATATATTCCGTAATAAAGTGATAGGTAATACGTAGTGAATAATTCTCAATATTTTCAATAAAAGCATATAATTTTCCTTAACAATGTTAAAGTAATAACTTCGGACAACATACAACATTTTAATAATCAACCATCCATGTCTGCCCCATTCAATTTTCGACAGTTTAATTAGAGTTCTGGAATGAGTTAAGTTTCATAGTTTAGCTATTTATTTGCCCTTCAACTATGAACTACCACCGTATATGCGACTGAATTGTTTTATTTTATAGCCACCCCGATAGTCACAAACTTTACGGGTTGAAAACAAAACAATGTAACAATTATTAATGAAAGCATTATGAACATTTCATATTGAAATGAAACTAATATCCACAATTCATTCGACAAAACTAAACTACAAAAGTTTTTAAAACATTTCGTCTTTTATAGAATTTTCTCTCTTCCACAAAAACCAATAATCGTGTAAGAGAAGACACCGACAGACACTGAGTATTGTGAGCAAAGGGATCTCATTTTTCTAGACAAAGCGACTAGTTCCAATTATCGCCTTGTCAGTTTGAATAATCTTAGAATGCAGTAGGTACTCATTTATTAACAATTTTTTTCATATCACTTATCCTGGAATTTAAAAAAACATTTTATTTAAGTTGTTAGAAATATCAATTGTTATCATTACAGTATAGAAAACAATAATAATTTAAATTCTAGACTACAGATGAGCGGTTATTGGAGATCCTTTACTGATATTTTACATGAATTAACTGAATAGGTGTGTATAGAATCATTTCATAAGAATGGAACAAGTCCGTCACTGCGGCACCTGTAAAATAGCCCGGAGCACATTTTGTAGTTGTATACAAAGGCCTGTGTTTAGTTAGAAGTTGATAAATGGTAGGAATTGTCCATGCACCTTACCTCTTCAGCGAACTCGAAGTCTCCTTCGAATTTCCTCTTGCGTTTCGCCTCTCCGTTGCAGACGATGGCCGCGATGACCAGTATCAACAATATAGCCTTCATTTTGGCAGTGGATGCCTCCCGCCAACTAGTTCAATAACAAGATTAGATACCCAGTTCACTTTCTCTGCACTAAATGTTTATGTCGAGCGAATGACCGTAGTAGTACCGTAGTACATTCAACGACCGTCCGCGACCAGACACGACCACTTTTTGATTATTCGATTCCAATGCCCTTCTCTTTCCGTCGGAGAGTGCGCGGCGCCACACAAGAAAAGCTTTCTTGTGCAGGATGAGTTGGTGGGGGTACGCCGAATACCAAATCAATGTCCAATGCAGTGAACATAGGGGCGAAATGGGAGCAGCGCTTTTGGCAAGTCATCAGTATCAGGAGCAAATTGTAATTTCTATTGGATTTAAAATATTTTTACAGGGAATGTGACTTGTTAGCGATGAATATTAATTATAATGAGTTTTTTTAATGACGAAATATATATTAATAACTATTGAAACAATTAATAAACTTTAACTTTCGTAAAAATGGGAAAATTATCTTTGTGTCCTTAAAACTTAGATATGATAAAAATGTATCAAGTATCTGACTGAAAATTAATAGGTTGCCCAACAAGTAGACATGCACTCTTTTATTGTTATAAAAGTATAAAGCTAATTTAGATCAATTTAAAAAAAATGATTACTACTTAAAATTCCCAAGAAATAAAGGTTTGCAAGACAAATTTACTCCGTTGTTGGGGTAAAAATACGAATTTCATATTTTAGAAAAATGTAAGTATGTTTAAAAAAACAGATATCTTGCTCCAATAAATCACTAGCTTAACGTTATCACAAAGGCAAACCAATACCAAAGAATAGCTTGTTATTGATATGTATGACAAAGGTTTAATATTTTTGTTTACTCTTTGCTTCGTAAGGGAATGGCCAACCATATCGGAACAAATCACGAAAGATGATTGGATGATTGGATGATTCAAGTACAAGGTGTCCCATTAAGGGGACATCTCTCTATTTTTATTTTACATGCACGATTTGAGTTATTTTTTATTCATAGAGAGACCTTCTAGACGTAATTGTTGAATCAACTACTATTCTAGTCGAATTAATTTCCAAACGTTAATTTTGGAAGTTAATATCGTAGATATAGGTTCTAAATTGATCCATAGAAACGTATCGAAGGAGAAAAATTTCAAAAAGTTAAAATTACGTTAATTGTTAATTATTGGACGTATCGGACCGGTATACGTTTCTATGGATCAATTGGAACCTATATCTACGATATTAACTTGTAAAATTAACATTTGGTAATGAAACAACTAGTTGCAAAAAATCATTTCACTATCAATCGAATCGGTCTTTGGCACACATGTTGGTCTTTCGATTGACGGTCTTCTCATCAACATCTATCGCGTTTTGCAATAATAATGCGCAATTTTCGAAAACTGATTTTCCGCGTTCGACCTTTATTTTACAGATAACAAATAGGTGAAAAGTGACTTCAGGTACCTTAAAAGATAATTTAATTGCCTACAACATAAAACAATTAATTTTCTGATGTGTCATCTACATTTTCATGGACAGTAAAAAAAGTGAGAAAACATATAATTTTGCAACTTATTTGCAATTTGTCTACTTAGCGTCACTTCTTTCGATTTACTTTTTTGATAATATCATTCTACACACCCTTCCCCGTCACATAATGTCAACTAATAATTTTTTCAGATTTTTCAGGTTTTATGATCTAATTCGACTGGAGTATACGACGGTCGTCCAGTCGGCTATCCATGGCTTGTGGCGATTTGTTGGAAACAATTTTTCGGAAAATGATTTCAGGACTTTTTTTTAATTTGCCGAGATAGTCTTAATTAGCATTCCTTAGCTTAGCTTGACTTTTCAAATTTTATCTTTACCAGGATAATGAATAATTCTTTTATATGGATATATTGTTTCTCTTCCAGTTTGAAAATCTAGAAAGCCTGAAAATACTGAAGCTAGTAAATAATAGACTGTATTTATGGACCTTAAAATTGTGAAAGTTTTAAGTTCTGCCTAAAATTGAAAATAGCATATAAGCAGATTCTATTATACCACTCTAATCAGCACAAATCAATAATTGGCTAATTTTTTATATTTAGGCATTTCCAGAAGCCTTTAGATTTTTAAACTGCATTAGAAACTGAACAAATTTCTCTGGAAAATATTATTCTGAATTTTTTACCCTTTTTAACGTTATCATGCAGTTAAATGAAAAAAGAGGAAAATTGCGTTAAATTCTAGGGTCCCCTGTATAAAAAAATGTTTCAAATTGTGCATCATCAAAAAAAAAACAAATAAAAAATAAAGATAGATAGATAGATAGATAGATATTTATTAGTGTTAGTACATAAAAAGTGTTTACACACGTCAAAAAAAAATATAGTAGTAATATAAAATATTTATGAAAAAAAATAATAGTAAAATATACAACACAGCACACACACGCGTACAGCAATGTTGACACATAACTAGTTCATAACTTAAAGAACAAAGAAAATGGTAACAAAACAATACAAGTACAAGCAATAAATGGTGGTCAAATGTTAAAATAAAACGTTTGTAAGAAGACAACAAAATAAACTGTAAATGATACATGTTAAAATAAGATTATGAGTAATGTAATAAGAAAAAAAACTGAAACAATGTAACTGATTTGTGCGAAGCCTACGTCTAAGTTAGTCATATTAGGGTGATATCACTTTTTAAAAGTTCTTGCGTAGTATAAAATGCGTTGGTTAATAGAAAGTGTTTTATTTTGCTTTTAAATAAAGTAGGGTTGAGATGACGTACTTGAGCTGGTAACGCATTAAAAAACTGGATGCCCATATATGATGTGCCATTACGTGTTTTACTTAAGCGATGAAAGTTTAAGTGTCATTTTTGTTTCTAGTATTATGAAAATGGATTTGGCTACGGGCAGTATACGACTCTTCATTTTCTTTTACGTACAAAAGACACTGTAGTATGTAAGTACATGGTAATGTTAAAATACTAAGTTTCTTAAACTGTGCTCTGCAGTCATCTCTGAATTTTAAACCTGAGATTATGCGAATGGCTTTTCTTTGAGTAGCAAAAACGATATCAGCTGAAGGTGAATGACCCCCAAACCAGGATAGCATTCGGGAGTGAATAAGGCTATGATAAGCAGTAATTAACGTTTTTTGAGATACTTTGCTAATCAAGTTGCGGATTAAATAGATACCCTTGGAGATCCTATTGCAAAGGTAGTGGGCGTGCTTGTCCCATTGCAATTTCGGATCCAAATATATTCCCAGTTTTACTGCATCAGGATTATTTACATCGTCTATTTCACGCAAGCTGAACATCAATTTTTCGGTCTTAGATGCGTTTAGGCATAAGTTATTTGAAGTGAACCAATGTAATGAGTCATTCTCGATTATTGGAATGTCCGCCGTCAGATCATCCAAAACATTATTGGTTATGGAAAAGTTAGCGTCATCAGCGAAAAGAATCGCGAACACGTCGTTTCTCACAGATTTTGGGAAATCATTTATATACAGTTGGAATAGTAGTGGTCCCAGAACAGAACCTTGAGGTACCCCGTAATTCAAATTTAATGTTTTTGATTTGTAGTTGTTATGAACCACGTATTGTTGTCTATAACAGAGATACGACTGAATAAGTGATATGCTTTCCAAATGTAGTGTTCCGGATGGAGTTGGCCCTACTACAATTTCGAAAACATTCTTAAAGCTGATTTTTCATGAAAACATTCATTCTTGATAAAAAAAATGTGGTTATCTTGGGATGTCATGACCAATGGACAAAATTGTGACATAATATACGCGACAGTTCAAAATATTTAAAAAGTCAAATTTGCTTTAAAATGTATGTAGAAATTAATACTTCTTATTTTTGTCGAAAACTTTTTTTAGCAGTGTTGTTTTAAATGAAAACCGATACTTAAGTACGGAAATTAAATAATCAAAATCACTTTCCTCTAAATAATTTACGCATAAACATTGACTTCTTGTCAATATCAACAAATATAATATAAATTTGTTAATTTTATATTGAAAAAAGGCAATGTTTATTCATAACTGAAAAGTATAAACATTTAGCAAGTATTGTTTTTCTCTTCAGTATCAATGAAAAAGAGTGCGGTGTATTTTTTAGTTAAAAGTAATTTTTGTGGCCTTTTTTAACTAAACTCCGTATATGTATCTCTTTCTGTTTTCAAATAACTACTAAATACATTTTTTGACAAAATAAAAAAATAACTAATTTTCCCGAGGCAATTTTCACATTTTATAATGATTTGAACGTCCTTCACATTTTATCATAAATTTGATCATTGGTCATAACAGCATAACAGGTCATAAGCAAACATTTTTTGGGATTTTTTTTTAAATCTAGAAAAATCAACAATAATAATTTTATGTACTGGTATTCCATTCGGAACACCACTGTATTTTTGTAAAATATTAACATATGTTTTAATTCCAATCAACAGATTTGCAAAAAAATAATGTGTATCGTACTATTTGATATCATACATCTATGTATGCTAAAATAGTCTATAATCACGTTATTAAAAACATATATAAACATAATATGTATACAAAATTCTCCATCCAAATTGTACGTACTAAACAAAGAAACACTTACCTAGCATATTTAAATCATTAAACAAAATTTCTTTCAATCTTTAAAAAAATTAAGTACTATTCTTGCCCATTGACTACGTTAGATAAAGATCAACACTCAGCTAGGATGTACTAATTAATATATCATTAAAATAAAGTAAAAAGTGTTAACTTGTTTAAATTAATAAGAAAAAATCTCTATATGTACTTATTTACATTTGACATATTTTAGTAACTTGTTAGGTCGTTTTGTAGAAAGTGAAAAGTGAAGAAAAAATGATTTTTTAAATAAATAATCCCTTGTGCCAAGGGGATCAGTTAAGGGCTGTTTCTGTAAACTTATGGTCTCTCTAAAATTAAGTTAATGAGATCACTTTCACAAATGTACGTTTGCATTAAATTCAATGAAATGGCGGAGGAGCAAGTGTTAATATTTAAATGACATTTTAGAATTTTATGATTCATAATAACTTTTATAGAAACTATATGCATTACAAGAAGTACTTATGTAATCCATATTTCTGCAAAATTTATAGGTACATTGGGATGGTTTGCATTATTTGCAGAATGCAAACTGTAA